TTTTAACAATTTTATTCCCAAGTATGCATTGAAAACTAATCCAAGTCAGGGCTTATGTGGTCTTTCTCATTTGCATCAATGTCATGATACATTGTTGTAAGCTTATCTACTTTTCTTGGCATAAAAGCAAATACGATGTATAAAAGGTTTTATTTTAAAGTTTATATTTTAGCTATGAATAATGCCACATCATTGCATTTCCCGGGGGAAAAACATAAAGAAGAAAAAAAGAAGGAAAATCTCTTACTTGATTGTGAAGGTTACTCAAGTCCAACTGCTATAGCACTTTTGTAAAAACATACTTTAATGTTCAACATACTTTGTAACATTTAAAAACTTAATGTATTTTCTTGATACGCAATCGTAGCCATTACCGCGCTTAAATCTCTCCAATTATTGTTCCAGCATAGCTTCATTATTTCAAACCAAAGAGTCAATTATAGAAATATATGCCCATTATCTGTTTCATTTTCTTTAGCAAAAAGAACAATTTGGAAATATGGGTTAAGGGATTTTACTCCGCTCATTTCTATTAGTAATAACAGAATGTGGTCTTTTGGAAATGAGAAACAAGATCTGGAATTGTTTTGATTAGGGTGATGCGGATTCGGTGATCATAATTTACTTTGGTCTTTATTTGTCGCCCACGGCGTTCGGGGTATTTTTATGAGGGAAAGAAGTGATTGTCTTTTACCAGAGGCCTGATGAGAGGGAAATCTCTTACTTCTAGGATGGTTACAGAAAAGGACATCAATTTGTTTTTCGTTAATGATATTTATTGCAATGGAATTCATCTCTCAGACATGGTAATCAACAATTTAGAAGGATATGTTCTTTTCGTCTGGGATGTTGTCAGTTCTTTTCATTTTTTTTCTTCAAATGTCATGTCCCTCCGTTTTTCTATCTTTTGTTTTTGGTTTGAACTATTCGACCTGTATCGAGTCTATCAGTGCTGAAGAAGTAGTCCCCGTTTGGATAGTAACTTTTTTCCTGCTAGTTTCTCTTTCCTCCCTTGTTATTGGTGCCTTCTATTACTCTCTCATGCCTATTCCCTTTTCTTTCTTTCTCTTTTATTTCTTTCTATATTTCTTTTCTTTTCTTTTCTCAACAACTAACTTATATATTGTATGTTGGTTTATTATGTTTAAAGCTTTGTACAATTTTATCGAATTTGTTTGTAATGTGTAATATTACTTTCCTGTATTTATTCTACTTTGATTGCAGTTCATCTTTTTAATTGTAAGAGCAATTTTTGTTGAATGTGAAACCCTGGTGAAATATCAATAAATGAATGAAATGAAATAAATAAATCAATAATAAATGAAATGAAATTGATCTAATGTAGCAAGAGTATGGACATGACAGAGTGAAAACGATTTTCCATGACACAACTTTTGTATTAATCAGGGTAATCTACTAATGTTGAGGGTATCTGCCGGATGATATTAAGTGATGTACAATGCGACCAGGCATAATCTACGTCATCGTACTCGAAAATATATTATTGTTTCAGTTGAAATAAGAATAGGACAATACAAATGCAGCATTTAGTTGTTTACTAAAAGGAATCAGCCAGCCGAATCTAAAAATGTTCAAGAAAAATGATTTACCTAAAATTCTCTAATGTCATTAAGTACTGATTCAGGTTTAGTTACTTATATCAAGTTACCATATTATTTTAAAAAATGCATTGTTTTGTAAAATTTATAAGGCTTTGTTAGTTTTGTATTGAATATGCATACAAACGCACCAACCAATCAGGGATTTTAGATAATGACATTTCAGCCTAAAAAGAGTTTCATTTTAAATGATGAAATATATTTATCCAAGTGCGTTCATTATCAGAGTATATTAACATTTAACAACAAATTTACTTACTCTTAGAATTCCGTATCATTGTTATTATTATGAAAAATATGAAAACAATAACCGACAAAAAAGTTCCAATAACTTGTAACATCATAGCTAGTTTACTATTTGTTTAGCGCATAGAGAATTCTACGAACTATTATGTGTTCTCTAAGCACTTTCTATTATTATCATAGTTGTCATTACAACCACCACCACCACCACCACCACCACCACCACCATTACTACTTCTACTAATCCGACCACAAGTTTTTCTACTTTTGCTATTAATTTTATATCTCTAGGCCTAGTATCGTTTTTAAATATAATTATTATTATTATAGCATTACAGGTAACAATAATCACAAAATCACTACTATTTATATTAGTTCTTAATACTTCATTGCTCAGAGCTATAATATAGATACCGACTATGACTGTTGTTTCGTTACTTCATCTTCTACCAGCGCCACCAACCAGTTCCTATCTTCACCCTTTTCTCCTCTTCAAAGCTCATCCCTTAATCCCCCTCCTTTCTCCTCAATACTCTCTCTTAAGCCCTTCCTCGCTGTTACTGTTGCTTCCTCGCGATGTTTCACATCGTCACGGGAAGCAATAAATCTTATTGCCTTCGTCCATTTGTGAAATTTCATTTGAATCAGACCATAATGGAAAAGAATATTAGCAGTAACGCCCAAGGCATCCGGCGAGCGCAGCGCAAAGGGTTTGATTCCAACCATTTCCTACCGAGCTGCATGCTGAAAGCCATTGGATGGGACAACTTAATATCGGACATAATCACCACTCTTAATCGCTCTATTAATTCAATTTATCCTTTTTCCAAATTAAGTCCGGGAGGGATAACTCGGTTTCTGATTATAGATATGATGAAGAGAGAAGCAAATCGGATGTGAAAATGCTACATGCGATAAACTTGACAGTAATCATTTTAGCCGAGTATACGTGATAGGTATAGCAATACTTTAAAATGTTTTCCAGCTATTTCATTTGTATGTGATGACGCATACTCTTGTTCTATTACTCGTAGATGACCTTATTACATATGGAAGAATGTTATATATGATATTGTTTTTATTAATGTTAGAAGGTCATGTGACTCGAAGATTAATCTTAAAAGTAGTCCCTTTTTGCACTGTTTTGAGGAAAGAAAATTTGAAAAAATATAAAAAGGATTTATTAATGATTATCTCCCGTGAACAGATAAGGTTTTTATTCATATCTTCTCGATCATTATTATTATTGTTATTATCAAACAATATGATTTTCATTGCATTCTTCCAAACATTTTGATCATAATGCTATAAAAACTTTGATACCATAACAAGGAAGATTCAATAAGAATGAATCTTCCGGAGATGCACTAGCTTCCTAAGTACAAAGTTTAGCAATTTCTGTAACCAGTATATAATTATTATACCAATTTCTTTTTCATTGTAGTTTAATCTCTGTGTGAAATCAGTCCTTGTCGCTTTTATAAGATTTTTGATAATGAATAGTTATCATATCTATAAAAAGTATTATCTTTATCCTCAGTTTGTCTCAAAGAAACTTATTCTAAGGGATAACGAAAATTACTCAAATAAACTTATTAGGAGATATGACAGACATTAAGGCTTAAAAGACGTTACAAAATCTACACAACATACCCGAATAACAGTTTGTAACTGTACAATAAATAAATAAAAGCACAAGTACTAATGTTTTTTATTGTAAAAGAAAAAGCGGAGCTGATTCATGCCATATGTAAGTAACAAATAAAGTATTTTCTCTGAATTCATAGCAGAAGATGGACTCGTATATTCTATGAATATTATACAGAAGGGGTGAAAAGAAATTAAACTTTAGTTACCATGATTTCGGCAACATAAGTATATTTTGTTATAAAGAAGACGCTACTCTTTATGTCTGTAACATTAGGTTGGAAACATGAACATATTTTCTCCAAAATATTTTTAAAAATTGAAAAGAAAAAAGAACTCTAATCATTTGAAATATTGATAACATACTTTGGAGTAACAAACCTATTAAAGAGAATAATCATTATTCATTACAAACGTGATTTCGATTCAATCCAATTAAAATCATTGTTTATATCATAAATGGATACAAAAGTAAAGGTACGAAACGATATTAACGAACGCAGTAAATAACGGATTTAGAAGCAACAAACAGATTATTGTATTTACCTTTCTTTAAATTGGAAAATAGGAAAGCAAAACTAAAGAGCAACACAAGTACATGTAATATTTGCTCATACAAAATTCATAAACAATAAAGATATCATATATTTTCAAACAAGTGATATAATTTATTATCAAAGGGGAAAAAATAATGTCGCGGTACTTTCCTAAAACATAGTTTTGAACTAAAAAAACATAAGTTATTTGCATATAATTATATCCGTGACCTGTTATTTCCGGCCGTAGTACATTTTTTTTAAATTCAGTAATCGAAATTCATATTTAGTTTGTTGAGCAGATTGAAATATACGCAATTCTTATTTCGTTTATTTTTACAGCGAATCTTTCTCGAGAAAAAATGTGAGTTTACTACCTAGTTTACCCAAAGGCAAATCATAGAAAAGAAGTGGCTTCATTAAATTGTTTAACAAAGCGATAATTTGTTCGTTTTTGTTTATCATTATCTCTCACGGCAAATCTGTCTATCTATTACAACTAGCATAATAGCTTCTGTGTCATCTGTTTTTAACATGACCACATATCATTGACAAATAAGCCTTTGCTCATTATTTTCTTATTTCAGCAAACATCTTATTTCATTAATAATGGAATCAGATAATTATCTGTATCTAAGATAAATCACTGTATGTTAAGGATATCACTTCAGATTTCTTTAAAGAAACATTGTGTGCGTCTTAGGTTTATTAAAAGGCTTCACTTAAAATGCATAAACAGTCGTCACTGACATCTATATAGAATGATTTGACACTATTGAAAGGGATTGATTTTTTAAATCATTATAACATTAGCATATTTGAAAAAGTAAAGAATCCATTTTATATTGACACTATCAAGAATTCTTATAACCTCTACTTCTCTTTACTAATGTAAAGTTTAGTTATATTGCAATTCGTTTTCTAAATGACATGGATAGCATCATTTTGAACTCACCATTTTTATCATGATCATCCTCGATCCCTCCAATCTTCATCATCTTGCTCTTGGAGGAAAAACAATCACCGGAAACATGTTTAAGATCCTTCTTCATAGAGCTCTGGACCCTGACCGCCGCAGCCGCTGCTGCCATCGATGTCGTGATAGCAAGGTCCCCGTGAGTTCCGGGCGATGCACCCGGCGGTGAGACGTGGAAACCAAGCGCGTGAGCTGCAGACGAGAAGGAGTAAGCAGGGAAGGGAGAGAGCCCGCCGAGACTCCCCTGTGAGAAGTGACTCCGCATGAGCTGAGCATCCATTTCTGATACTTTGTATTCTCTCTCTTTCCTTTTCTTAGTTTGGTCGTCCTTTAGCTGTTTTTCTGCTGAATATGTCGTACTTCTCCAAAGCTTCGTTCCTCTAAATAGGAATACTTTTTAATTATTCAAGATATATTGAGCCGCGATTTTGATTTAAAAAGTCCTTCCTCCGCGTTTCAATCACACAAACAGGATAGTATCGTCTGCAAGAATTGTTATTTACTTACAAAGTCATTTTTCTGTCACAATATGCGAACAGTTATTAAATTGCTGGTGAGTCTGCGATTTTAAGCGAAAGTGAGGCGAAAATGATTCAGACGGAAAATCAAAAATCCAAGTTTCGTCGACGGTAGTTGGAAATCGGTTGAGGCATACCTGGAGCTCGACGCATCTTTCAAGAATCGTTAGCGACTTTTGGCTTAATTTGTCAACTGCTCTTTCGTCTACCTGCGAGATGAAAACATCTCATGCAACCGTGCTGGCGTCGTGCCGCAACCTGTTCCCCTATCAACTCCAAATTAATGGGTCTAAGTGGTTTATAGTCACCCTACACCGCGCGCACGTGTATCTGTGTGTTTAGAGCATTGTGTACAAGGCGAATTAGTATGGTATGCCTGGAGAGAGTGAGAGAGAGAATGAGAGAGAGGGAGACAGGGGAGGGAGTTGGGACTGCCCGTTGTGTGTGTATGTGTCGTGTGTGAGGAGGGTGTGTGTGTACGTATAGTGAGTAACTGTTGATGATTGTGTGTCGTAATCTTTTGACATTTTGGACCAATGAGCATTTAGATTTTTGACAACTGTACAGTGTCACTTCGGCGACACCACTTTCACCCTTACTTTTGATAAGGAACCCACTCCCTCATCTCTCTCTCTCTCTCTCTCTCTCTCTCTCTTTCTCTCTTCACTCTCTTCACTCTCTCTTCCTTCCCCACATTTATTGTCTTTTTCCGTTACTCATTTTCCATCTTTGTCAACTACGCACGCGCGCCTAGTTTGCTTTTCTGATTTCCAATTTCTATCGCTTTCATGTAAAAATCTCACGGCATTATCATTCTTACAGCCCTCGAGGTATTTCACACCCAAAATTTGTTTTTGTGCAACAGTTTTGTTTAAACAAAAGAGGCATTTGCAGAAGCCAACTGTTCATGGATCTGGATAGATTCTAGAGCAGGCTCTCTAATTTATTGATGGTTGACCATGACAAAGGTCTAGGGGTGGAGATGTGATTTTCAAATACTTAAATGAGTCAATAAAAACAGGTGGTTGCTTTTGTAGCAAACAAAAGACGAACAAGAAGACTAAAACAGAGTTGACTATTACTTCCCTTTTATTGTTCAATGATGCTCTAGTGATGAATTTTCGATGTACTGTTAGTGCCTAGAGACCAAACCAATTGTTTTAGCGAGAGTAAAGGATAGCAATGCATGTCTTTGTCACATTTTGATTATTGCAAAATACATTTTCGAAATATTTCAAAAACCAGGTCTTGCTTACCCCTACATGATTCAAGTCATTTACAATTTCATGATAATACCTGACAGAAAAGAAAAAAAAAGACATGAAACCAGTAGAAAAGCTGAAAATGAAAATAATTACGCAAGAAACGTATCATTGAAACTGATATAACATGCATGCGATTTAACATATAAGGGTTATTGTAGTAACTGTAAATTGATCACAAACGAAAAAGGGAATACCCTAAAATCAAGAATTAAGACAAATAAAGACTGTGCGGCATACAGTAGTATCGTAAAAGTGAAAGCTACGGATAGCAATTTTCATTATGTCATTATATGAGACACAATCTGATATGGGATTTCAAAGATAAAATGTTTAAGAAAACGACAAACTAATTGAAAAATAAGTATTAAAGGATTCTGCTGGTATAAATATGATATAGTCTTAAAACAAAAACATTTTGTCAATAGATCATTAAAATATCAAGTACCAATACCCAATACTTTTGTAATTTTGTATTCTTAACTGCGTTTTCAGAGACACGATAGCACTTCATCAATTCAAAAGATATTATATGCTACTATACACCAAAACAACATTAATCATGTTATTATTAACTTTTCATCTGTGAAAACTCAAACAATCATCATTTGAAACCAATCATCATTTGAAACCAATCAAACACATATATAGTTGGATTAAAGTGTACAAATCCATGTAGTGACACTATTATTTGAATTATTTTGATTGAATGTTTTCAGGAAGGACCGATAAGCTAGTTCATTCTTAATGCCCATACTGGCTCCATAAGGCTGGCGAAAGTCTGCCATGTCATGAGGGTCTTTAAAGTAAAGCGGCGACACTCAATACGCGAGCATCCAACCGAGACATTGAGATATTGTGGCAAAATGGGTGCTTCTTAAAACGCATCAATGGGCAAAACATTGTTCAGCTAGCTATATAGACAGCTATAAAAGCGTGCCACTCAACTCAGCCGGCGACGGGTCCAAGCCAGCTATTGAGCCAGCCGTTCGGCGGCGACAATCGTCATTCTGCGGTCGGTTAGGTCGGCTCCGAGAGGTGAAGACGAAGAAAAACCTTTCATTCATGTATTTATCCTGGCGCGGAGAGACAAAACCATGCACAAAGCAATCGTTTGGTTTATTATAAAATCCTATCTCTTACGTTACCATGGATACGCGTCATTTTTGACTTCGGAAATAGAATGAAAACAATAATACAAGATGCAAAAATTAACAATTATTAGCAATACTACCGCTATCTTTCCTTACTTAAAAACATTGTTACGTCTAAATCATATATATCCCTGCAGCTAAACTAAATGTACTTATACATAAATTACCACAAAATACCTTCAGTATAATATAAGATTCGTAGTATCATTGATTTTTTGTTCTCTAATTGACTCACATTGCATATATCGTAAATTATTCAGGAAAGTTTCAAGCAAAATGGTTATCGCTTATCGCTTTAGATCTTCTCTTTTTATTAAAAATAGTTTGACTTTATTCTGTTACGGTATTTAAAATTTGTTTGTTTTAAACCAAATCTTTGTTTGTCATGCTTATGTTTTTTCTGGTAGAAATGAGAGAGATTCGATACAATACATGTAGTATCGATTTTATAAATTTTTTAAAGTTTAATAACATTGAAACAAATGACTCCAATTCATTACGTTATAAACCTTTACGACTTATTGTGTTGATGAAAAAAAGATCTCAATTTTACTCAATCTATAGTATTTTTTCTTCCTATTTTATTCATTCATTTATTCATTTACATCCGTGTTTTTCGGTATTTCCAGTCCATCATTTTCTGTTTTTTTTTCTTCATTTTTATTACTTAAAACCATTCAGTTTCAACATACAAAGTACTAACAATAAGTATGTTTTTTGGATTGAACTGTTATATATATTTGATTAGTTCACCGTCATTTGTATGGAATTTTGATAAATATTACAGATTTCTAGTTTTAATGAAATTTAAATTATTCGGTTATCAATGCATAGGTCATTTTCTTTGTATTTTTGAGAAGTATCCATAGTGATGTTGTTTATATTTCACGCTGAAAAGAACGGCAAAAATAATTTAGGATACATTGTGATATGTCAAAAGGAAGAAACAATAATTTCATGTTTGGTGCATCTTTTAATTGGTAAAATATATTGTGAAAATTATTGAAAAAAATAATTTTAGGAGACTGAATCTCTGTCTGAAATGTGTTTAGGCATGTAGTCTTCCATGGAAAGAAAATGATTTTAATGCAGGGTATTTATGACTGCTAAATAATTGAAGCTTCGATATTATTTTTGACTGAAGTCATCCTTTGTTTAATCTTAACACTGGCCAATATCATGAATGGATGAACAAAATATTCTCACGATCAAAAACTTTAGAATGTTCTCAGCGGATTTGATAGGGTGAGACAAATTAAAGAAAGAAAAAGTAATTTTTCTCATGGTTTTGTTCTTGAAGTTTCCGAACATGCATTCCCACATCATTAACATTTCATGTGGGAAAGCTCCGGGTACAAGAGAACAGTGAAAACTGCGAGATTGATGGTTTATATTGATTTCGATTACCCCTTATCTCGATTTCTTTAGGTGTTTTTATAGCGTGTGAAAATATACCTCATTTTCAGGACTGTTACCCAAATGCTTCCATTGAGAGCGGTGACTCTGGCGTACGCGTATTAACTTCGCACACCTCTCCCCCGCTGAGCTGCATGGCGGACTGCGCGTGTCGAAGTTCATGCATTCTGAAGAACAAGAAATATTGTTCTGCGTCTTGTGCGCGACACGTGTTATTCACTTATATTTCTTTTGTAAGTCGTCTTCTATATTCCTCTCTCGGATAATGCACTCGTTCAACTGAGAAAATACCCTTTCTATTTGCAGGCAGCTACCGTGCAATAAACTGTTTACCCACAGACAAAACAAAATGAGCGAATATGAATTTTAACGATCCCGCCAAAAAACAATAATCGTGTGGAGATATTGATGTCAATAGAATTAGACCTTACGCTGTGCCTTTTGAATGGAAGGAAAGTTAGTTGATGGTATTGAGATAATCTTTCTCCATGACTCTGCATGTGAATTGATGGGAAATAAAAACGTTTTTTATTTTTGTTTTTCCTTTTAACACATCAAAGAGTACTACACGATTATTGCCATATCATGTGTCAAACATTATGGCAATTTATTAACCACTAACTTCAAAGGAGTAGGACTATTAGAAGAGAGATGGTTCACAAAAAACAAAGAAGAACGACAATTTTTTTTTCTCGAGTTAATTGATCTTGAGTGAAATAAGCTGATCCGAAGGAATTGATTGGCCTGTATGTAATACAGTCAAACCTGTCTATAAAGGTCACCCAAGGAATACAGTAAAAGAGGCACATGTAGACAGGTGGCCTTTTAAGACAGGTTCTACAACACACATTTCTCTGTTAAGGGAGACTAACGACATGGCTGCTATAGAGAGGTGGCCTCTAAAGAGAGGTGGCCAATAGGACAGGTTTGATTGTATTTGTATTAGTTGTAATCTTGTGGATTGTCTGTCTGCTGAGCTTGTGCCTCGTAACCTGAAAACGGCAATCTCCTCTATCAATTATGCAACATGCAGCAGACAGGTCACCGATGTTATCTC